GGGGGGGGGGAGGGAGAGGTAGCAAAGTGTCTTCGGGACGGGACACGCTTCAAGGGAAGGAAGATCGTATCAACACGCTTACCTGACCGTTTGCATTTGTCAATTCGGGCAATGAACACCATTGGGAGGTGCGTAAGGCTTGATCCAGTCGAGCTAGAAATTCTTGGCATTCCGATACGGCCGAATTGACCAGACCACGATTGGCATGCTTCGGATCATTGGACATGATCCGCGCAAATAGCATACGAGCACGCAAATAGAACCCAGTGGGCCATAACCACTCAGGACCCTGTGTGCAAGGACAGCGGGATAAAATAAATGAAATCGGTATTGATAACCAGAAGAAGCCATTCATAAGAATGTCTGAAAGTCGTATATGTCCCAGGGAGTTAGCATTAATTGTAGGACAGCTCATCGTTTTCGTAAACAGGTGCATTCTTAAAATGTCTTGCAAAACGTTTCGCCAGATTTTTTTAATTACACACACACCTAAGTGTGAGATGAACAGCAGACGGTGCGAACGCCATATTTTCGAGGACCCGCTGTTCAGTGGTGGAAACAGTCAACCTAATCCCCGGTAGGTTAGGCGTGGTACTGAACCGGACGACGGCAGAGCTGCCTACCACCGAAGTCGGGTGGTGGTGGTGGCGGGGCTCGAACCTCGGAACGTGGAGTCTAAAGCACGTCGGTGATATCGACTAAACCACTGCACCACCACCACCACCAAATCACACTTTTTATTTCACTTCATTCATTAGTAAAAATTGTGAGCGGACAAGAAGACTATCATATTTAAGCTTCAATTGCTAATCTATAATATTCGGCAAATAGGACTTGGTCTTGAATGCGGAGAGATTCGATCAGACGAGCTTCGGTCAGAAATTGTGGACTTTTCTAATGAGGTGATGGAAGTGCCAAAAATCTCGTAATGAGATCGAGCAAACAGAGATGACATGAGTGCCACATCATGCAATTGTAGAGTGATGCTCATTTAATTCTGTCATGAATGATCAGTATCCATACCAGCCTTATCTAAGTGGGACTTCTTACATGATTTGCCACTTCCAGTCTTACATTCCCGAATATTAAGGGCGATCGATGGGTTCTAGTGACCACGGAGTTTATTCATATGGATGTTCATTACAAAATTATGTGTAATAAAAGGCAGATGGACGTCGGGTATTGTTTATTTTCAAATGGATCAGAAACGAACCAGACAAAGCTTAGCAGTGATGCCCAGATTCGCTTCGCTAATGCGAAGGCAACATCCGATGCGTTATGCATGCGTACACGTGACTGATTGGATGGCAATTGCAGACAACAAGTTGACATAAATGACCCCGGATAGACGAGTTGGTTACTCAATCACGAGAGATTAATCAATGCACAGTTGATCGTGAGTTGCTGATCCATCGAATATTCCGATACTGCGATGGATAAAGATGGATAATGATGATATTGTCACACACACACACACATGCAGCTACTGTTCGTTCTCATTGTTTATTATAAGCGCTGTCGAAAGGAACCGAGGACCATTTAGTTTGACTATATCTTTGCAACAGACAGATTGCCCAAATCAAAGTACACATCACCGAGACTGCAGTTCTTTTCACCTCAAATTCTCTCAAAACGAAACCTAATGAGGCATTCACAGGACAGAATTTTGAACGGTGAAAAGATATGATAAAACGATGCAGAACGGCTAAATGATGCGCATGCTCAACTGAAGCTTGGACGTTTATAAATGGTTACAGAAAACATAGTGAACAAATGCTGCCTGTTCAGGAAGTGTATCGTGCAATTGCTTCGGATCCAACAAAAATCATTCATTTTACAGGTGCAGGGAATACGGACATATAATGGCATCATCTTCGAAGAAGCCGTGAAAATTTCACATCAGGCATATCAACTATGAACAGCAATTCTCATTTGTATTTCTGTGAATTTTCAAACGCTGAAATTGTTTACACCTGCTCAGCCTATTGAGTACATCAAATTGAATGGTTAGGAAATGATTTCACCTGTAATGTCACTTAGATAACAAATGTGGATGTAACCGGGGGAAAAGCACGGCAAGGATGGAGTGAAATTCCTTAGTTCCATATATTTTTTGTTGGTGAGAAACTAAGCAAGAAAGGGAAAAAGAGAAACGCTGATAAAAGTAAAAGGAATAGTATCTATGAGAATTTAGAACGGATGAAATTACACGAACGGTATGTAAAATCCGTGTAGTCAGTGACCAAGATGAGTAGAAATTGGTTTATTACTATAACCGGATGTGATCACTGAGCTCCAGCACTGAACCCACAATGAAAACTATCATTAAGAACTAAACTGACACATGACACTCTGAAAACTCGTTTATAAAGTTTCAGGTAGACTTTATACAACCATTATCCGTTTGCGCGAACGGTGATGCAGGAATGATTGAAAAAGGTGGAAAGCTGAGAGCAGTACCAAGGTAAACTGAATTTGTGTGTGCAGACGCACGAGCAACATTGTTTGCGATATTCAGTCATGTAAACCACAGAGGAAATAAGGAGACAGAGATCAAAAAGTATCACCTGGAAGAAAAACAGGAGATAATTTGGAGTTGTGCAAGAGATGAATTAAATTATCATCCTAAAAATGTATCATAACAACTGTTTCACGAACAGAACGGGAGAAAAGTCCCCTGATACAAGTCATTGAACAAAGTGATATTGAGAAGATCCTTATCGAATGCCCGCTCAAGGGAACCCCTATTCGACCCGTGAAAAACCGTAACATTTTGTTTCAAATGCTTTCTGGTTATTCGAACCCATTTAGCAAAAGTAGTTTCGCATCGTTTTTACATTGGTTCTAAATAGTTCAGAAATGTGTTTTTAAACATACTCTGTGCATCTTAACACAAACATGAGCGGGTAAATGAAAAAGTACTTGTCGAGCGAACGGAGGGTTTTAATTTTAAGCTTTTTTGTCACATCTCATTATGCCGGGAACAGACCAGATGGAACAGCATGGTCACGAGTAACTAAAGTTTGTCGATGGGAACTGGCAGCCTAATTCCCGGTTCTTGGAGCGGTGAACGAAACACGAGGTTACCCCAGGATTTTATATATATATATATATATATATATATATATATATATATATATAT